TGCCTTGCTCCAGTATTTCCTCTCTATGGCCCCTTCACCCTTTCAGCATGAGAATATTTATTCTGTGCCATTATACATCAGAAGTATGCAACTTCCTTTTTTATTTTGCAAGCAGGCAAGATTAAGAAATTACCTTGAGTCTCAGAAGAAACCTTGGACGTTTAGTCGATGTTGAGACTGTGATAGAGTATGGGGACTTTCGAAGTTGAACTAATGCACTTTGCATTCTGATATGGCTCCAAGCTTGTGGAGGCCAGGGGGTGGAATGTGGTGGCTTAAAGAGAATGGCCCTCAGGAGCTCATACGTTTGAACACTTGGTCACCCCCAGTGGTGGTCCTAGCTGGGGATGTGGTGTGGCCTTGATGGACAAGCTTTGAGAGTTCATTGCTTGGCCCACTTCCTGTTTGCTCAGTCTGCTTCCTGTACCGCCACCATGCCTGCCTGCTGCCAAGACTCCCTGTCACGGCAGACTCTTCTCCCTCTGGAACCATAAGCCCCAATAAATCTCCCATCTGTTGTTGTCTTAGTCACGATAGTTCATCACAGCAACAGAAAAGTAACTAATATACTTCCAAACCAGAACTTTTACCTGGTTCATTTTTAACTAACTAATTTTTATTTAATATTTATTTGGTACTGATAAGAACCATTACCAAGCATGAAATAACCATCTCCAAACTTGGCTAATCATAAAGGTCATCCGTGGGGTTGTAGGCAATGCTGATCTATGGACGTATCCCAGAATTCTTCAATACTGAGAGCATCTTACTGATGACCACACTTCACAGGCATCGTCATTGGGCAGAGCTGTCAACTGCACCAGTTTTCAAGTCTACTGCCTAAATTCTACGTATACCACGCTCTGAGCTGGGTAAGTCACTTAATGGATCAGTGGCTCGGTTTCCTTATCTACAATTGGGGATGATAATTTTTACCATTTGGTAGGATTGCCATGAGGAAGGAATAAAAAATAATGCATTTACCACAGCAGCACTTGGCACAGAGTAAGTGCCCAGTCAATGCAAGACAATATTGAACAGACAATGTCTTCCCTTGGCAAGGGTGCACCTGAAGAGATACATCATCATTCTGTAGATAGCACTGGACTAAAACATAGTCAACAGTTGCTGAGAAAACAGACTCACCAAATCAGACTACGGTGTTCAAGATCATAAAACCAGACAAAGAACCGGGACAGCAGTCTACCTCCTATTAATACAAATCCCAATATCTCACCACTAACAACGCTTTAAAACAAATGTAATCTCTTGCCCCTTCCTTTCCTTCAACTTAATTTCTAAAATCAAAGATGTAGCTCAGTTGGTAGATAGAGTCCTTGCCTCACACTAAGGAAGCCTTTGGTTTCATCCCAGCACCATATAAACTGAGTGTCATAGCTCATTCTCATAATCCTAGTACTCAGAAGGTAGAGGTGGGAGAACCAGATGTTCAACATCATCCTTGGCTGCACAGGAAGCTATGATGGCCCACAGAGGCTTCCTAGTGGGACCTTACTCAGGGTCAGGGAATCTGAGCTTGCTTTACCCGGCAGGGCTGCATAATGGGATGCTTTGGCCACAAGTGTGGGTATTGGGTGTTTTAAAGGGTCTGCATTTGGCTGTATGGTGCAATTTGATCTTGCAAGGGGGAGGTCTTTTGCCTCTCCCCTTGGCATATTACAAAAAGCCCCTTTGAATAAAGCTCCCCAAGTTATCCTGTGTCTCTATCTTTCTCCTTGTCACTGTCTTTCCATCTATCATTTCCTCATTCCTCTCTCCTCCACCCAAGAACCCGTTGAAAAGTGGTAGCAGGTCAGAACTGGACTCTGACAGACTCCCACAGGAAGTTCAAGGCCAGCCTGGGTCTCATGAGACTCTTGTCTCAAAGAAAATACTATCATGTTGGTTTCTGAATTTCTTGTAGTATTGTTTGTCAAGTTTCCTATTTGTTTGTAGTCATGATAGAAAGAATGCAGATTAATGGTCCTCAGAACTATTCCCTCCCCAGAGGACATTTGTCCATGTCTACAAACGTTTCTGGCAACCAGAGGAAAAAGGCCAAGGATGCCTGGAAACATACCACAGTACACATGGCAGCTCTCCATGACATAGAGTTAGCAAATGTTACCAAAGCTGGTTCCCTAAGAAGCTACTGAAGTCATCCACCACCACCCACGCCACCCACCACCACCAAAACAAAAAACCAACTCTGACTTAGAAGTGTGGTGACACTCACCTGTCATCCCAGCATTCAAGAAGTCAGGGCAGAAGGACCAGAGGTTAAAGGCCATCCTCCATTCCATAAAGAATTTGAGGCAAGCCTTAAATACATGAACCCTTCACTCAAAACGAGAAAAAAAAAACCCTGTAATAATCAGTCTGAAGTGAAATTTGGTCTATCTATCTATCATCTGTCTACCTATCCATCATCTATCTACCTACCTATATATCTGTCTATATCTATCTATCTATTGATCTATCTATCTATCTATCTATCTATCTATCTATCTATCTATCTATTTCCTTCCTTATACCCTTTTCTCTTCTCTTCCCTCTTCCTCCTCTTCTTTTAGCTTTTGTGATAATGGGAATGTTCTAAATTGGACTATGAATGTTTCACACGGTTTGCAAATCTACTGAAACGGATTGAGTTATTTACTGAAATGTCCTAGTACATTTTAGGGAAACTGTCAGGTGAAGTGACCAGACACTCACTTCACATGGGTAAGTTAAGTGGCATGTATGTGAATCTTCAATGTGGCTGGTTAAAAGAGAAAGAAAAGTCCCCTGTGTTTTCTGGTCCTCTACCTCTCAGAATGTGAGTACAGTTGTCCTCAGAGGTTTCCAGAGCGCTCTCGTCACAGCAGCTGTTCACATACTGGCTGCACAAACTGAACTGTAACTAGATTGGAACAAGTGCCCTTTACATAATAGTCAGAACACAGAGCTTTACACTCCTTTGAAGACCACAAGGCACACAGAGACATGGGCATCCCCTTTGGACATCCCAGAGCTGCTCAGTGATGCTCTTGGGTATGACAAAGAAACTGAAAGACCCTCTGTGTGTCTTCACTCCCAGCAGGATCCATAGCTCCTTGTCCTGGAAAAGCAGGAAGCCTCCCTTTCCCTACTGCATTGGGGGAAACTGTCAAGTGATGTGACCGTAAATTCAACTACATGGCTTAAAAGTTTGATACTAAATGTAGTTATTACTCCTCCTTCATTAAACCAAACTATTTCCAGATTGAGAACAGCGGGATAAAACCAACCCATTTTGTAAATGTAAAGGTGAAGTCACGTAGAAAAAGAATATCCCTTCTGAAAGTGGGGGCTACAACACCATTTGGACAAAAGAAAGACTGTCTCCCCTTTGCTGAGGACTAGTCTTCACCTGTCTTTTTTCTGTCTGTGGGGTGTTTTATGTGACAAGTTGGGCTCCCTCAGTCCTTACCTGTTGGCAGCCTTTTGGTTATATATAATAATAGACAGCCAGGCAGTTGTTTCCAGTGCTGAGGCTACAAGCACATTCCACCCCTGGCTTTGATATGGGTTCTGGGGTTCCCAACTCAGGGTTCCATGCATGTAAGGCAAGCACATTACCAAATGAGTCATCTCCTCAGCCCTGAAATGCTTTTCCTTTTTAAAACTCCTCTCTCTGTCTCTGTCTCTGTCTCTGTCTCTCTCTGTGTGTCTCTGTTTCTGTCTCTCTCTGTCTCTCTGTCTCTCTCTCTCTCTCTCTCTCTCGTGTGTGTGTGTGTGTGTGTGTGTGTGTGTGTGTGTGTGTGTGTGTGTGTGTTTATGTGTGTGTGTTTATACGCTTCTCTCATGTGGATGCAGGTATGCTCATGTCATGGCACATGTACACCTTGTTTGAGGCGGCATCTCTTGTTTCTCCACTTCACGTGCCAATTAGCTTTCCGGGCAGCTTCTGGAGACTCGCCTTTCTCCACCTCCTCTCTTCCCACAGGAGCGCCAGAATTGGAGATGGTGTGTACTCCACTGTGCCCAGCTTTATGTGGGCTCTGGAGAGCTCAGCTCAGAGCCTCGTTGTTGCTCAGCAAACACTTTACCACAGAACAGTCTCCCATATACAGAAGGCTTTTCTTCACGCTTCTTGTCACACAACCCTTTTCTCTTAGCTGGTAGTAACTGGCTCACCTGGTTATGAAGCCTCCTGAAGACATCCTTAGGGAAAAGCCTAAGATTTCTGTGCTTTCCGCTGACCACTTAAGAAGCCATGTTCTTGCTGAGACCTAATCCCTTCCTATTCTCTTTAGGGAACCAGAAAACAAAACTCCTATGACGCCGGGAGGCAGTGGTGCAAGCCTTTAATCCCAGCACTCAAGAAGCAGAGGCAGGCAGACTTCTGTGAGTTCGAGGCCAGCCTGATCTACAGAGTGAGATCCAAGATAGGCACCAAAACTACACAGAGAAACCCTGTCTCAAAAAAATAAAAACAAAAACAAAACAAAACAAAACACTCCTATGCCATCCATTTACTCACTGAGAAATCTGGGGGGCCTTCAGAGGAGGCATTTCCACATATTGTCTCATGGGTATTCCTTTTCCTCCATTCTTATTTAACTATGCATTGGTAGCTACATAGGGTAATAAACGATGATATGCATGTCTCATAGGTCTAGTTATGAGGTTAATAAATGAAGGCCATCGCTGTTATCCTTCAACATAGAAACAAGGGCCTTGTCAGCTGAGCAGGATTCTCTACTGGCAAAGGAGACATTGTGTTTGACTCAGCTGCTTCCCTCGGAAGAATCTGGAAGCATTAAAGCCATATTCAGCTATATCCAGGGAAGCTCCGGGGTCACCATAAATGCCAGGCATCCTTAAAAGAAACAATCATGAGGGAAGATAAAGGAAAGACCCTATCAGAAATGCTTCCCGTTGCCTGTGTGAGGTAGGCACTGTCAGGAGACAAGAGGAACTCTGGGAATGCAGACACACTTGCCAACAACTTCTGCAGTCAGTCGATCCAGCCAGAACACTTTGCTTCATTTTCTGGTCACGAACTTTTTCAGTACAGACATCCCACGCTTAATTGAGACTTGCCTGGAGCCCAGAACCTCTTTCCCTGAACAGTGTAGAGAAGAAACGGAGAGAAGAGGCCCAGGAAGGGGCGTCAGGAAAAAGAAAAGAACACCCGTGCCAAGAACTTCCTGGTAAGATAAGACTTAATTCCTGCCACGAAGTGAGATCGCAATCAGGACAGTAAATTGTGGGGCTGCGCCTACAAGGGACGGGGAAATTCTGAGAGGACAGATGGTCAGGGACAGAGACGTCAAGGACCATAAATCGTAATGATGTGCAAATCCTGAGTGAGAGCTTAGATTATCGAATTCTTTCAGGGACTCCAAAACTAGATACCATCTCTGTTTTCCTCAGGAAACTGCTGCACAGTGGGATTGAAACCACATGCAAACTCACGCTGCTGGCCCCGAGTGGAGCTTCCTCCCAGATGTGACCATCTCTTGTCCCCATGCTCAGTCCACCCTCTCTTGGGCTTGGAATGAGAACTGAAGAATTCTTATGAGTTGGGTGCACGGCCGTAATAAAGTTGAGGTATCCCAGACTGCAGCTGGAGAAGAGAAGGTATCGTTTGACTATTGGCTTAACAGGGTAAGTAGACCCTCTTGTCCTGCGATCCAGGGGTGCTGGAGAGAAACCCGGAGGCAAAGCGGAAGAGTGTTATCCCTCCCTCACAGGGACCCTACTGACGTCCAGTGCCACAGGATCATACCCAGGCAGCTTTGTGGAGACAACCCAACCCAGTACTGGAAAGTTCCAGAAGCCTCTTCATGCTTTTCGTGAGCAGATGGTACCACTTGGGCCATATTTCAGAACTTAGAGATTTTGGTCCAGCATGCTTTTTTTTATTTTTCACTTTCAATGTATAATTCACACAAGCCATGACAGCCTGTCTTGTTGAAACATTTTCTTTTTAAACTCTGCCCTCCCCGTTGGGTGTCTTTTTACCCGACTGAGCGACTGGCCAGTGTAAACAAGTAAATAGTACCTTTCAAAATAGCAGCTCAGACCTGGTTTTTACAAAGCTAATTCAAACCGTAGGGTGTGTGTGTGCGATTTTCAAAGTCTGTCTTGAATATGTTTCTCCCTGGTTCTGGTGTGACCCAATAAGATAATCCGAAATGAAAGGAGATGTAGCACCAGCTGGCTGTGCTGCC